ATGAAGTTAAGATCACAGTGGAGCCTATAAATGAGTATTCACAGAGAATATTTCTTCCAAATTCATGGTCACCTGTGAACCAGTAGGAGATTTTTTTAGTGAGCTTTTTAACAAACATTAGGCAGAAAGATGACATGTTTTTAGGGTCGCGTCTATTTGAATCGGATGAGCAGTTCTCCCAGCAATAGCTTTGACTTTACTGACACCTATCGACCATATTAATGCCTACAGGAGGTTTTGGCTGACAAATCATGTCATCACAATCAATGGCGAACATAGAAATATGCTCTTTATTAATAAAAGTCATGCTTACCTTCCATTCATTTTAAAGGATTCACATTCTAAGTAAGCCTTGGATTCCAAGACAAAGTTTCCAAAGACAGAAAAATTTAAAATGCCTCAAATTTTAGGTGCTCAAGCAGAAATACCTTTCAAAGCACTCACACACAGCAAGTACCAAATGCAAACCTGTAAACTGTAATCCTTGAAGTTGATCAGATAATGCAAGTAGTTAAGCTGGAAAAAAATTAATAATTATACATGTTTATGCTAAGAACATAGGAATATCTTTAGCATGCCCTGGAATATCTTATATATGGGGATGAATTCTGCCATCCTCATATATAGAACAACTCGGTAACTTCTTTAATAATTTGGGTCTTGCATTAAAATGCCTCTTCTTTATTTCGTTCCAAATCATTAGCCCATAAAGACAGTTTCAGAAAGGAATAGGCCCTTCTGTGCACAGTTACTTTGAATCAGTTCAGTGAGTGACTGTTCTGATCACTGTCTCACAGCAGGAGACACAGAYAATGAACAGTGAATATATTCTTACTGCAGGAACTGTCCAAAAATAGTTCTATGGAGAATGTTGTGTGGAGAAAGGGCAAAAAATAGAAATCCATGTGCCCAGAACTAGACATACATCCAAACTATCTGCACATACAAACACCTCTCAGTCCCCAGCTGCATGCTTCTTTGCCATTTGCCATTCTGCTTTGGACCTTCCATTTCAAGAAATATTTTCAATTTTTACAAAGGGGAGAAGCACACAACTCTTAATTAAGCAGACAGATGTGTACATTGTTGAATTAAAGCAGTGTGAAGCAACCTGAAGGAGCAATGGTAAAGATCAGCAGCTGTGGATTGGGTGCTGTCACCTACCAGTGAACTCACGGACTCCCTCAGTTTAGATTTGTAGAGCATCCATCGGTAACGCAGGTCCTCCAGATCTTCAGAATTTCCAATGACAGGATGGAGATGAAGGAGGTCCTCAAAGAGACGCTGACCATCAGGCACACGAGACTGCAGCTCCTGTGAAAGACAAGGGTCAGCAGCAATTCAGGTTTCAGGAAGGCCCCACTTTTTAAATCAGCATTTGAAAAAACAATGGTTATGGAATAGCACATTTAGTTTTGTTATTTTTGGCCTGAAATAATATAAAATTCATCTGCAGGACTCCTGTAGCCTTGGATATTTCTATGTTTAATTTCTAACAATCCAACAAATCTAACCAATTGCCATGGCATTGGGCTATACTCAACAGGAAGATTGAAACCAAATACCAGACTCTGATTTTAATCAGYTTCTTTTAATGAACACCTTTGCCATACCACTCTGGAAATGTCCAGCCCAAAGCTAGATGCCAGGTGCTCCCTTCTCTTCTACCACTCTGGCTCTGGCACACCTTTCTTAGTAGAAAGAATGGATTTTGTCCAAAATTCCTGAATTTCGTCTACTCTAGAGTCTCCTAAAGCAGAGAGCATAGTGTTTCAATTATTTGCCTATTTGTTCTTTGGGGATTTTTTTTGTTGTTCTTTTTGGGGTGGTGGGTTGTTGGTTAGTTGGTAGTGTGGGTTTGGGTTTTGTTGTTGCTGTTTGCGTTTTTTAAAATCTGAAAGAATTTGCACTTATTGCAGTATTTGTCTCCATTCAACCCCTGAAAACAAACCTCAAGTTTGCTCTGCTGTGCCTCAATTTCCTCTGTGGAAGATCGAGTCCCAGCAAGAATTTTGGTCAGTTTGGTGTTTTCTCCCCGTAGCCACTCTTCGAAGTCATGTAGGAGCTTCAAGTGGCTGCTTGTACTTTGCCCTTCTCCCATCTTCTCCTAGSATACAGAAGAGCAGGAACAAAAAAGGCCTTACTGTTATGTCAGATGTTCCCTCTGAAGGCCTGATTGCGAGATCTTAACTCAATTTTGTAACGCACAAGATCAGGTTAAGGCAATGAAATGGTTCTTGTGAAGCTGACATGAAGGCAGCCACAGAGCCCCCATCTCACCTGCTTATGGTTGGGATCTACATCAAAAAGGTGGAGAGCAGGTCTAGATATCCATCTGCTGTCCACAAACGCTCTTTTCTTCTTCTTATCAGCCACAGGTCTGTTCAACTGCCACTTTTTGAGGAGGCTAGGAAACACAAAACCAGAGACATCAGTGCAGTGGACATCCATGTTTTGACTGGGGCTATGGGGGCCAGCTCTGGTGAAACAGCACTATTATTGTTAATATTATATCATTATTACTATTAATAACTTTATTACAATTGAAGTTATTCCAAACTAGAATGTCTTAAAGAATCAGTACTCTAGTCCTATCATTTCTGAACGTTTTGTTCTCTTTTATTTAGGGGAATAAAAACATTACCTTGGCAATATACTTTTTGTGGTTACAGGAGGCAGTACAATCAAGCCTTCCTGGATTTAGTAATTTTGGTTTTATGCCTATTCTGACACTATATATGAATACAGTCCTACATGCAGCACATTATTAAATATTAATACACACTTGCAAATATGAGCAGCATTTTGACACTACATGGTGGAGGCAAAATAAATTAAGTCTTCATTTCCCAGCTAAAGAGAAGATTTTTAGCTTTGCTTATACTTTTGCAGATTTGCAAAAGGCACAGATCCCATCACAGATATACCTTCCCTGGAGGTATCTCCAAGGAGAGCAGGAAGGCAAGACAGAAAGCGCAAGTCACCCAGTCTATACCAATTTCCTCTGACACAGACTGGCAGAACAAGGGTGAGCCAGCTGATAAGAAGACACTGYCTAATCCAACATGAGGTAAAGGCAGATTCACAGGCATTGGTTCACAGACTCTTGAAAAGGTTTTCTTGAAAGTAATGATTTTCAGTTTATAAACAAGGAAATAAATCCCATCTTGCTACCAGCGTTATAGTACGGCTGCTCACTTTCACAGCACAGAGCATGAAGCCCCAAGTATGTCTGGTTTKAGGGCAGTAAGGAGCACTCATTGAAGGGACATGAAGACCTACATGAACACTTACCCAGTTGCTATCTCCTTCAGTGACTTCCACGATTCCTTCAGCTGAGCCAGCTCCGCCTGGACATGGGCTGTCTCCTCTGGAGAAGAATTCTCCATGACCAGCTGGCCATGAGCTTCCACAAGGTGCAGCTGGATCTCCTTATCTGGAAACTCAGCCAGCCATCTCTGAAAGGCACAGCCCTTACAGTTACTCCCAGGTGTCCTGGGTAAAACAGAGGCCATGTCAGACTGAAGGCCATGCTCAGTCCAGGACTATGCTAGCTCTGCTGGCACTAACTAGAACACACCTAGCAGGGAAAAAATATGCTGTGGATTCTTGCCCAGAGCCAACATAGGTCAAAGAGCTGAAGGCAAAACTTGAAGGGTGCAAGCTGTCAATGCACCTCCTCCTTAGCCTTCACATGGAATTTTTTGGTCTCCATATGAAGGCAACAGCTGCCAGCTGAAGTAACCCACCAGAGGGAATCCAGCACACAAAGGACTGCTGCCCAGGGAAAAGGTGACAGCTTTGGAACAGCTCAGTTCAACAGCGTGTAAGGCTAGCTAACAAGGCAGGAATGCTCAATGTATTGATGAGCACACACAGGCAAAAGCAGGTGTTGTCCGGAGATCACCCTGACAGGAACATCTCTTTCAAACCACCTATAATTTGACAATGTTTTACTCCTCCGAACAGTTCTCAGTTATTTTTCACTGCTGTTACCTAGCTCCACGTTCCACAACACAGGGCAAAGCAGAGAGGCAACAGCAACCAACAGTTATGGAAGGAGAAACACGCCATCATTTCTCCCAAACCAGGAAATCCTCTTTAGAAACCCTCACTGTTAATGTGTGAATGCTGCAAAGTGAGTAATTAACATCCTAAACTAAGATGGTTTTCTTACCTCAAGGTCTTCCAGCCTGCCCTCCATGTTCTGCTCTCCATCAGCATCCTGGCAGGAGTCAATCTTCTCCCTGGTTACTGAGATCCATTGCTGGAGGTCAGACAATTTGTCATTATATGCCCAATGCTTCTGAACCTGGTCTTCACTCTGCTGTATCATCATCTACAAATGATAAAAATACTTCAGCAACTAAACACAGAAAAAAAACCAAACAACACTTTCTTTCCTGKATCTAACACTATGATGGGCTCAGAGCCTCATGGGGAAAAAAGAAAGAAGCAACTGTTAATGAGAGACACATATATATCAGTGGTGTGCAAAACACCTTCCAAGCTCTTGCAGGCCTGAACTCAACCACACGGGGGGGTATTAAGAACTAGAATACTMCCTTCCTTCTCAGTTGAAAGGGAAGCGAATATACATGTCCGGGGTTTTTGTATCCCAGTCAATATCAAATACWTCTTAAACTCCCTGAATCAGAAATTACTGTACAGACGTGTTTGGCAAAAGTTCAGTTCCATGATAAATGAAAAATGATTGAGATTGAAACTAGAATTCCACAGTGCACATTCAAGATACACTTTAACACATGTAATTATGCAGTGAACTGCATAACTRAGGTAACATCATAAACTCTTCTTCTGAGATTGCTTTGGAGGTCATTTTATAGGTATGCTTGCAAGCTACAGGATGCCTCAGGACAAAACAAGTATTTGTGCAATTACAGAACATTTCTCATTACCTTTTAGGTCACAAAGCCATAAAGCCCCCAAACACTGTTACAGAACCCCTATCTAGTAATCTGCGAAATACAAGCACCACCATGATAAAATAACTATGAGTTCTTTTAGTCACAAATCTCAGCCCACTCCAGAAATAGTTTATAGAGACATAAAATCTGTGCAGATGGTATCCAATCCCCAAAGGAAATCACATTAGAAATAATCAAGAGAATCCTGGAAGAGTTACTGAAATCATAAGAATTCAGTGCCTTCTTCCCCTGAAATGAAAGTGTCTGTCACTCAAAGCATGTAATGTCATATGCTCAAAGATTTTTAAAATTATTTTAAAATAGAAGSAACTGACAACTCCCCAGGCAACTAAGAACTTCCTTATGTTACCTCCAGTGATCTCTTCAGGGCCTGAGACTCAGAGGAAAGTTGGTTCATTTCATGCCTGTGTGTGGTGTTTGATTGAACAAGCTTCTCTACCTCCTCCATGTGAACTGCCAGCTCTGCCAAATCATCTTGGATCATCTGCAGACGAAAAGACACATTCCATATGGGTAGTGTGCTAGATAGGGCATGGACTTCCACAAAACCTACATTRAAGGTAGCTTGATTTGACAGCACAAGGACAAAACAGCAAGAAAATTGTTTTGATGCCTAGGAGTAAATGCTTCTGAAAAAAAAAAAGGTTGCATGTCCTTTACATGTTACCAAGAGATAACAAAGAAAAGTTGCTGAGAAGCTGCCAAAGGAGCCACAATATAACCAGCTAAGTACTGCAAAGAACTGTGGTGGTAACACCCTTGTGGCCACCAAGGATGAACTGGCAAGTATACACATCACCCCACATCACCATGGCAGAGTAACATCCCCTCTCCCTTCTACTGCTCTTCTCTCTCCTCTCCCAGGTATGTAATCCCACCGCAGTTCTTCAACAGGCTCTAATGCAYGTTGGACCCTTTGCCAAAATGATGACCAAAATTGTCTTTCTCTGCTGATTTTTTTCCTTATCATGGCCAGCTGAACCAGCCTGTGGAGTAAATCCAGCATGTGTCAAAGCAAAGTGACAAGGTAAAGAGCAGAAAGAGGGGGATGCAAAAGGAACAATGGGAACTCTTGGAGGAAGTTAGATTGGCTCAGGTTATTTTATGCAGTTTCAYGCCCAGTGGGAAGTGTCAGGATCCATTTTCTTTAGCAGTAAAACTAACTCAAGAGGGTGTAYCACCAACAGCTTCCAGCTGCTTCTTCCTTCCCTTGAGCTCAGTTTGCCAGGGCTTCATCTGCATTGCTTTAATTTCATTCACTTATGCTATAAACTGGACCTAATGAAATTATCTAACACAGTCAGTGGGAAAGGTACTGAATTCCCACTGCTAATAAAATATGAATCAACTAGATCACAATTAGCTGAGGATAACATTGCCAAACAATACTGTAATGTACCTGGAGTCTCTGGAGTTGTGTCTTTTTACCCAAGAGGTCAGGCCGTGGTTCCTTCTCTAGATCTAATTTGGCTTTGATGGCAGATAATTTCTTCTGCAAAGGTGCAAAACCAGCATCAAAGTTCTTATGCTGCAATATCAAATTCTAGATRGAGAAATAAGAAAACAAATCCAGCATTCAACATATATCCCTTGGCATTATCTTTTGTCAGTATTCGCTTCATATTCAGAACAAACACAGAGCTACACTACTGCAACAGACCACAAATTTATTTGAAAGCATGATCAGCATAGAAATAGGAATTAGTACTGAATTTATATGCTTAAAACTGGYGTAGTAAAGACTTAATCTTTGTCTTTATCACAGGCAAAGACAGTATATAGGTTTTGTAGTTCACCTGGAGTTTGCTCTTTCTTTGCAGCAGACTTTTGTGTAGAATTTCTCTCTCCTTTGAAGCTTCAGCTACTTCTTGAAGGAAAGACTCTGCTTTTTCCTCACCTAGGATGTTGTTTAGCAAATCTTTCTTTAGCTGCAATGTCATCAACTTCTCTTTGAACTGGGAACTTTCAGCTAGAGCAGCCTAAAGGAGAAAAGTTCTTCCAGTGAAATCATGCCAAAAAATAATCATATAACTATATTATTCTCACACATGTCACAAAACCAAAGCAGTAAGACAAAGGTAAAAACAACATGCTGGGCCAACAAGGGGTAACAGAAGGTACCTGGACAGTGCCCAGTTAAAGGAAAAGTCGTCCTGACAATGTTAGAGGCACCAGGGCTGCATCCATTTTGTGAACAGAAATAAGAGATAAGCTGTACTATGGAAAGAGTTGTCTGTGCAGAGCAGAGGCCTAAACAACCAACAGAAAGTACAGCTTGAATGCTCATCCCGAGGGTAAATTTCATCCTTGTTCACAGACAAATTTATTCTGGAGGTCACAGTGGGGACAAAGTAATAAACACACCTTACTGGGCACATGCATAAATTGTGCATTTTAATCCCATGTCTGCATTACTACACAATTCTTTAACGGAGTCCACAGTCCCATCTAGGGAGATCTGGGCTAATGCTAAACAATATTATCATGATTGCTGAAGATATCTAACACTTCAATGCAGCCTACTCAGCTGACAACTCCAGTTAACCAAACAGAGAGCAGAAAGTAAAATGATGTGCTACAGCTAGAGCTTAGTAAAGACCTCCATCCAACTGTGGGCTTTCCTGCCACACTGGCAGCACCTTCCAGCTGCTGCTGCTGCCTGGCAGCTGTATGCAGGCTTGGCCAAATGCACATTTCCRGATTAGTGACAGCTTTGGTACCTCAATGTGAGCCAGCTCTGGCTCTGGAGTCTCCAGGAGCATCTGGACTGATGGCTTCCACTGCTCAAAACTCTGCAGGGGATTTTGGAAGAATCTCCTCAGCTGGGTTTCTGTATCAGTGCTCATTTTAGAAGTCTTGCCTCTAACACTGTAAGGATAAAGTGACAACCAAGAGACGGATTATAAAGAAATCCAAGCCCAAACATCCTATTCATCAAGGCATGAATTAACACAATACTCGGGTGTAAACCATATACAACACAAAAGCTTCAGTCTGTTTCATTGGCTGAKCCTGGTGCTGCTTATCAACAGCTGCTCTGTCAGTCACAGATATCTGACAAAACTTTATTTAGATGCCGTAGGACACATTTGTCTTTTGTGCAACTGTGTATCAGGAACTACTTTGCTTTTCTAGTAGCCAGTAGTCTCCCCTGGTATGTGATCTTTCTCGGCTGCTGTCACCAGTGTGATTTAACAAATCATAATATCCGAGCAGTCTCACTGGCTGATGGGAGGAACAAGCCAAGCGTGTCTMGAATGTAACTGCAGTTGACTGAAAAACTGGGTTTTGTTTCTTAAAAAAATTACATGAAGAAGTCTTTCCAATGCCAGGCTTCTCTTAAAGGCTTATCCAAAACACAGCCAAGTGACAAGGCCCAGCAGTGGCACACCCCATGCAGCTGCCTCCTGTTTTTTTCAGCTTTCCTGATCTCCCAGTTAGCAGAATCTTGCCCAATATGGAAAACTGCAGCCCAAACTTAGTGTTCATAGGGGAACAGCAGCTTGCAAACTCACAAGACAGGTAGGTGAGAGCAATACCAATCASGATCAATACTGCCTTTCTATAAAAACAGAAGCAACAATCTTACCGGTGTCGTTGGGCCATGACAGAGCTAAACAAAGGCAAGGCTGCAGAGGCCAAAGGCTCCGCAAATAGAAATTTCTGACTTTACACGTCCTCTGCCATTTGCTCTGCTGCCACTGCCAGGCTCAGGCTGAAGCTGCCAGACTTCCCAAAGAAGCTTTGGAGAGAAACTGGCAAAGGAGGAGCTGCCATTTTCTACCCAGAGCCAGTCCCCTGGCTTCTCGGCTCCTCTTTCAACATTGTTTACTTGCTAGTTTTAAAACTGAAATCCTTTCCCACAATGACCTATAACCCTTAGAGCAGGACAGCATGCTGAGCACAGAGGGAAATAAGCCGGGATACAGGAAAAGAACTGACCTTCTTTTTTCCCTTAAAAAAATGATCCTTTCTTCTAGTTTGCAAATTTTCCTGCAGCTTCTTTACTTCCTGATTCCAGGCAGCCTGGAAACGGAAACACTGAAGTCTGGGGAGAGGCTAAACTTTCAGAGTTTCCAACCCAAGGCAAGTTGAAAACAGGAACATGCATATAAGCTGCCAGGAGAAGGGGAATAAACTCTGCCAAATAATTGCAAAGGCTGGTGAGTCACTGCAAAAAACTCAGCAAGGGAGGGCCGTAATTCTTCTGAACCGTTTACTACCACAGCTCCTGTCCTGATTTTCTAGTTGTTGGCACGAAAGGAAAGGCAAGTACATAAATTATTATTATAAAATGCTAACAAGATCAAATTGGCTGCCAACAAACTAATTTTCTTCAAACCATACACAACATTAATGATGCAAGATCATTGCTTGAAAATGACCAGGAGCCTCCAGCTCCTAGCAAATGGCTAAAATTACAGCTTTACTGAAACATGAAGGTGGATGTAATTAGCAAAAGCTTTTTTTTTTTTTTTTCTACCCATCATCTACAACTGGATGGCATATCACTTTTTTCTTAGGCCCCTGACAATCCCTTCAATGTCTGAGAGAAGATTCCCCCCACCAGCCCACCATAATCAGACTTCCCAGTACCTTTGATACTGGTGTATTGCAGAGACAACACTCTCAGCGTATGGCTGCACATCTTGGGAAAACCGTAGCAGTTCCTTGAGCTGAGCCTTCAGCCTCTCTATCTTTGACTCTTCAGCAGCCAGAGCTGCTCTTGTGGCCTTAATTATAAAAACAATGAACAGATCATGCCCTRTGTAGAGTCTGGCACATGAAATGAAGAAGTAAAGCTGCATCTCAGGGTATGCACAAATCCTCTTTCAGTGGTTTTTATYCTGGTTAAAAGGAACATGGTCTGCTAAGACAGAAAACATTCTCAGGAACAGCTTTGTTCCAGCAGGCTCTTTCTCCTCCTCTCACTCTGTCCAGCCTCTGCATCTGATCTGCAGGGTTCACTGTTTGAACAGAGTGAATCACAAACAGGCCCAGTTTCAGTTCACTGATTGCAGTATATAACACGAGCTGCATTTCTGAAGCASTCAACAGCATCTGTTTGCATGAACACATCTTTCTCAGAGACTCACATACAGARAATGTTAATTCTAGGGTGACTCAGRGAAACAAAAACAACTAAAACCTATGCAAATACAGCTGGATTGAACCAGTCTAAATTTTTTTGATCCCTTTTGCATATACTTTTTCCAGTTAGTCCTGCACAGTTCTAGACATACAAACAGCAGTGAAAGGCATTTTGAGAACAGACAATAAATGCAAAACCAGCCCTCGAGAGGAAATGAGTGCTAAAGATTCTTATCTACGTTATGTGTGACCAATTTTTACACTCATTTTTTGCAGCAGATTGATTTTGGTGTAGACACTTGACTGCTACAATCTTCGGACTTCTTAGTAGTGATGATAGTCTGCTAGTAAAGGGAGAGAGGTAGCCATCTTACAGAGGTTGAAGGACATAATATAGCAATGGTCTTACCAAACACCTCAAAAGTATGTGTACTTGTGTGTGTGTATGCAGTTGTATCTGTGTATTTATATATAGTGAGACATTAATTTCCTGCTTCTTTTTACGTGGAGCAAATTGTGTTGTTTGTTCTATACTGTGCTCTTTTTGCATATGGTTCCTTTGAACTCTAGGCACAAACTCCAGCACATCATCCAACCGTGCTCCTTCTGTGCAGTGTAAAATGAAGGTTGGGGCAGCTGATTCCATTGTTGGCACTCACATTTGTCTCAGTCTGTTTCACACTCACCAATACTCTTTCCTTATCATCTTTAACCAATGGGACAGACATCTGTTGGATGTCACTGTGCATGATCAGTCTAGGGCTGCATTTGATCATCCACACAAAAGGTAACAACTTACATTGCATTTTCTCCACAGAGTAACAAACTCATCTTCAGTCTTTTCCCCCTCTCCAGGGTCCAGGTCATTTTCTAGTCTCTGTAGATCTTTACTCAGCTTCTGGATGTCTACTTCCAACTGTCGGGCTTGGGACTCGTAGGCACTTTCTGACTCTTGGATCTTGAGCAATCTCTCCTCCTCCTCGCTACTTAGCAGTTTCAWCTTCTCCAAGGCTTTTCTTAGCTCTTCAAGCTCATCCTTCAATCTTGCAGCTCCAAGTGGAGAGGTATTGTGAATCACCTCTGCACACTGATTTTCAAGGTGCTTCCATTTCCTTCCACCACTCCTAATGTCTTTGGTAATTTCCTGCAAAAAGAMGTTAAATAAAGACTATCTGCAGGAATGGGAAGCTGGGGGAAAAGCTGAAAGCAGTAGGAAAAAAGACCACCTCTCCAGGTTGTATGTATTTTGGTTTTCACTTCTTATTTCAAAATACGTCTTTTTTCAAGTGATCGGAAGCCAGAATTAGTCATTTGACTACCTTTTGAATAATACTAATTGCCATTGATTCTGAAGAATATTGGTTTTCATTAATGCTTATCACCTGAGATCCCTGACAAAGAAAACAGGAGCTACAGGCACCAGAGATATATCAATAGCTGTATCTCAGGGATTTTAAACTAAACATTTAAAGCAGTGGCACTAAAATAAAGGCTATTGTTCTCAAAACTGGTATTTTCATCACCAGCTCTAAACTCTCAGAAACTGTGAACCTTCAGGGTCTATCTGGATGACGTTCACCAAATCTGATTTATTTAAACAAGATTCTTGAAGAATCACATAATGAAGATCAGGCTTTAAGAAAAACAAACTAGACGAGTTTGTGACTCATGCTAGAAGAACCACATGTACTAACAGTTTCAGGACCTCATACAACTCTTCTGCCCTAGCCCATGCTAAAATCATCTATTTTGTATGTGCAATTAATTTCTCAAATACACCCGGGTATGGTTTGAGTAACACATACAGGGACAAAAAATAAACAATCCTAACTCCTTGTCAAAATAATATTGTTCAAGGACCTTCAGTGCCTTTAGCTTGTCCTCTGCTGAAGACTTGGTTGCTTCTCCAACGCAGCAGTTTAATCTCTCTGTGACACCATTCAGCCACGACTGAAACTGTTTGACATTAGCACTGTACTGCTCATGTTCCTTGGTTATCGTTTCCAGCAGTTTCACTCTGTTCTGTAACAAGAGACATCAGAAGTGGTGAGGACAGTGCTTATCTGGCTCTTTTTCCTTTCCACTGTAACCCAGAATTTATAAACAAGACTCCCTTTTCTAAACAAGTTCCCCTTTTTATGAGCCCCGATAACACTTGGCCTCCACAGGAATGCAAAGTTCACCTCGAGAAGCCAAACACAAAAGTACACAAAGGCTTGTTCCTGTCTGAACTGTAGTACAGGCTCTCAATGTCTCAAGCACACAAACTGCAAGGCCATGTCAGATGAATTTCTGGCTTTCCAAACCTTCCTACTCTCTCATTAGAAAAAGAAGAAACAGAAGTTTGTTTCTGGTTATCACTTTGAGAGACAAGCAGTTACATTCCTCTTGCAGGTTAAAAATAAAGACGAGCACACTTTCCTTATCTCTCAAAATGAAAATAAAAGAGAATGCACTAGAGGCATGAAAATTGTTTTAAATTTTTCATTATTTAAATAGACTGCAGGGAAAATGACCATCACCTTCAATTGTATAGTTCAGGTACTTTCATACTTAGAGAGTCACAAATTATTCTGTGGTGGTATCACAGACTCTGGAAGCAAACTCAAGCCAAAGGAAAGCAGGCTGCATCTTCCAAGTTACTCCCTGTGCACCCTATAAATGACAATCCCTGAATTTACAGGGGCCTGCACATCATGAGTTGCTCCCTGCAGATCCAGTCTGGCACTCCTCACAAGTCAGAGTCGCATTTGCTCAGACCAGCCTTGTTTGCCAGCCCAAGTTTAGGCCTGTTTGATTTTGACACAAATTACCTGCTCTGTTGTTTCACCAGTATAATATCCAATCTAAGTATTATTTTCTGCAAAACCAGACTGATTTTTTCTTGCCCTTCTCCAGTAGGCATTGAGAGCAATTGACGTATACTATGGTTACATTAGATTAAAAAAAAAGTCATTCCTTGTGCAATCCATTTAGTGCTTGCAGCATCCTTGAAAGCACCCTTTGCTCTCACAGACAATGAGCCAAGTTGGGAAGGAGGATGGTGTGAAACTTACTGTAAGTACCTGGGTTTCAGTTAACAGAGACAACATGGACTATAATTAATTTGTTGTGCTCAGAAGTATTTAATATATTTCCTAAATATCAACATACTGTATATAATAACTTTTCTCACCATCTTCAATCATCATTTCTGCTAAAACACACAACCATCTACCTCTGCATATTTTTAATCTCTTGGGCAAAGGAAAGCACACAGGAAACAGCTACCACATCTAAAAATATTCCTGTCGATGTAATTAAAAGAAAATTATGTGCTTTTAAAATCTGGGAATGTTAAAGACACATGTTAGCATTAAGAAAGTAAAAAAAAAAAAACCTCCCACCCTTTGCTCATACCAGAGAAACAATATCACAGGCAAACCATTTAAGAAACACTGTCCAAGAGCCTGCCTTCTGACAGAGCTGGACAACTGCTCAGGATCTAAAAATGCTCTTCAGACACAAGTGTGATCTACAAACACCAGCGAGCCTCTGCTCAGGCATTCAGCTGGCATCTGTAAGTCGCATTTGGTCTGGCCTCTCACCATGTGAGGAGCAGAGCACTCCCMTTACAACTCCTGTGTCTCTTTCATTCATTCCTCCCGCCTGCTGGAAGAGGTGGCAGGTWTCCCTAACTAGTGTTATACTTTCCAACGCAGTTCCCAGGGTGCCTGTAACCTTGGCAYTAGATAATAAACTCCTCATTTACTTCAGCTGCAAAACCCAAGGCTTCCCAACTCCCTTCTTTGTTCCATACCTCCTTAAAGAGGGATTTCTTAGCTGGATTCTCTCCATCCTTCTATGAAATGTGGTATTTTCAACCAATGCCAAAGAAAAGCTTTTTCTAGTGTCTCAGTTGGCTGGAAACACAAAGACATATTCTGTCTAAGCAGTATGAGCCACTTCCTGATCTCATTTACACCAGCAYATATCCAAGTCAGAGAAATCACCTATGTAAACCAGTCTCAGAGAGGTCATATCCTGGCTTTGAATATTCAAACTACTTGTTTGAAAGAACAGCTTTATTAAAATAACTAATGACTGTCTCCCACTTCAAAACCACAGACAAATTTTGGTAAGGAGGGAGTGAATGATAATTTTAAATGGCAATCTAGTCTAACATCTGAATTTCCAGGAACTTCCTTATTTGTATATCCAGTTGTCTTGTAACCAAGAGAGCTACCTTTAAAAACAAATAATCAGTGTTGAGGTTCAAGTCTTCTGGCGGCATGTGGCAGCTGCAGCTACAGAATTTCCAAGCATACTCTAGTTTTTGGAGAAACATTAGCAGCAGTTGTATCTTTGTGGCTAAAAACAKATCTGAACTACATGCTCACAAAAGATGCCAGCTTAGGGGGTTTTGTTGCTTTTGGGGCTTGGGATATTTTACTTCAAAAGAGAAAAAGAGCCTATTGAGCAAATAGGGCAATGGCACAAGCATCCCAACATTGCTGTTTCTCCACCAGGACTGGAAGTTAACTTTGTACCAGGGAGGTACCAGGCACCCAGGGAGGGAAAGCACACATCACTGTCAGCCTCTGGGTCTGGACTGTGTAAGAATTAATAGCAGGCAGCATTATAACAGAGGCAGACAGCAGAACCAATGTAATGAAAATAATTAGTATTTGCACCAGATAATTCCAGCCTATGAAGCTCCTRGAAGCAACTATGAGACAAAAATATATATGTCTATATATATGTTTAAAATATCCCTTTGAGTATTTCTAGTGACTTAGTAAGAAATTGAATTCTTCTGCCCACCTGCAGATGCCTGCCCCTCAGCCATACAACATGGTCAACTCCTGTCTTTACCCGAGTTTTACAAGTGAAGAGTATGAGCCTTTTTTGAAATCTTTACTCAGAAATAGGGTCAAAGGAAACCACTGGTAGTGAAAGAGGAAGTAGGATGTCTTACACCAGCCTATCTAACAACTGTTCAAGGTGGAAGATTAGTATTGGGCAAGAATTGGTATCTCTGTGTGCATGAAAACCTTTCAGATAGTGGAAATAGTGACTGAGCAAAATGCTGGGCCAGAGCTGACTGCCACATCCATGTTTCCCAGCTCTGCAGGCAGGGTGGGCAGCTCGGGTCTCACCTAATGCTACTTCCTCCAAGAAGGCTGTGTGCAGGTAATGCTGCCTGGCTCCTGGAATGGACACTCTGCATCTGTTTATATAAGAATCATTCACGTGCTGAAAGATGAGGAACAATTTACACTTTATAGAGATGATCTCAAGCAATACTGCCTAGATGTCAGCTAGCAGCCTGCAGTTATTTAGAACAACACATTATAAAGCACAGTGTAAGAGCATCCCAATTAACAACTCATCTTGGGACTTAACAGTTGTTTCAAACAGTCCATTGACTGAAAGAACAGGGGTCCTCAGCTCTGTTTCCTTTTCTAATCCTACCAGGTAAGTCCATCACTCAAGCAGTAAGTAGTAAACAATACCATACACTGGAAAAATTTGAACATCTTTGTAAGTGTACCTGAGCTTCTTGTCTGATTCCTTCATATTCCACCCTCATTTTTTTCTGAGCATCCTCATCAACACTGGGGTCACCTATCCTGCTGAATAAGGAAGCAGCTTCCTCCAGCAGCCTTTCCAGCAGGACTGACTGATTCAGGACGTCATTCTGCAAAACCTGGGCGTGGCTCAGCTGCCACTGCTTCTCCTTTAAGCCAAGCTGCAACTCAATGTCGGGCTCCAAGGTCAGCCTCATATTGTGAATCCACATGTAAAACTCATCTTGGGCTTTCAGGTACTCRCTCCAATGCAGCCAGACCCACTCGATGCGGCTGTTGAGAGAGCAAGAGAGAGGAGTTAGATGAAATGATGGGAGCAGTGGAGATCAACAGTCTCAAAGGGCCTTCCATGCAGTSCACAAGGTTCTCAGCGATTTTAAGTTGCTCTGACTTCACAGGGTCTGGACTCACTTCCCAAGTCCCCTCCRCTTTGGGGAGGAAATATTCTGTATGAGGTCCCTGTGCCTGACCAAASTCATCATTCCAGACCATGAGGTGGGTAGGCTGGGTTGTGAAGGCAGAGCACTGAGGTCTCACTGACCCTCTCTACCCACACAGTCCCCAAAATGCTCATGGGACTGGGATTAGCAAGGATTGCTATCTACAGTACAGGCAGCAGAGAGAGACAGGAAGCACTTTATGAAAGCACWGGAGGAAACAACTGCCTCAGCACACCCAAGAGTGTGTTTGTCTTACCTGTGACAGTGAGTAATGTATATGGCTGTCTCTTCCCACAAGGCTTTAATGTCTTTCAGTTTAGAGAGTACCTCGTGCTTCTTATCCTCACCRATGCTGCGAAGAGCAGCATCTGCCTTCACCAGAATCAAGTCCATTTTCAAACTGCCTTCTGGTTCCAGCGCACGTATTTTCTATGAGAAAAACAAATTMTACTGAAAGCACAGAAAGAAAACAAGCATAATTGATGGAATGTAAACTTTGTTTTCACCCAGGAATCATGAACTCAAGGATCATTAACCTGACACTGCCACGGGATGGAAATGTTTCTACATAACACAATTAACCCTTCCCAACTAACTCCCTGCTGCAAGGTTTCTCCTAAAAGGAGAGCTCAAACTTTTCTTCAGACACATTTACACTTAAACATTCTAAAGGACTGAATTTAATTGAAAACCACACAGCAGCAGAAAAACTTTAAAGTTTCATAGARCATCCTCTGTGAAATGCCTGTGGCTGCGTTTCCATTGCTGTTAAAAAGTCATAGCACGGTGTTGCCACTGGCCAACTGTTCTCCCCCATCTGCCAAAGCACAGAGAAGCAACCTCCACAGGGTACACTGCAACCTCTCAATTTTAAGCTCTACTGTGAGAAATCAAGAAGCATATTAAAAAGGCTTCCTACTGCAAATAAAGGCTGGCTTAGAAAAGAAGCCAAGAGAAATTAACTAGTGGAATTTTCTGCCTGCTACCAAATTTTGCTTTGACCCTAAATTGCTAACTTATGAATTGGTGAAAATGTGTGTCTTACACAAACAGGAATGCCAGGAAATGAAAGTTGAGTTTCAGTACACAGAGATGGAAAAATCAGCACAAGTTCTGTACAATATAACAGATTAATTATACCCCCAATTTGGATTGGGGAGCTTTCAACAWTACTTTATCCAAAACTTCTGACACTATCAAATTAGCTTTTCTTGCTGRTCTTCCATAAACTCCTGGTAAACTACAGGCTTTTGAGTTTGAAGAAGAAGCCTTCTACAATGAAAATACCACAATGTTCAAAATCAGCAATTACTTTTAGTAAAATTAGGCCTATGGGATTTGTTAAAAAAAAAMCACCATGTCAGTTATTGCAAAGGTGAGACAAGTAAAAGGCTGGGAAAAGCCCGTTCTTTTGGCATGTAGGCAGCATACCTGCACGTGATGTACAAACAGGTGTTTGGAGAAATTATTTACWATGAAAGTGTGATTGACAGAATCCAGGCAAAGTAGGGCAAAGGGCAGGGCAAAGCAAGAAAATACAAGCCACGGCTATCATCCAACGGGAACAGTTCAAGAGTAAAGCTGCATTCTAAGCCTGATATTTTTCCAGCAACTAAAAGCAAACAACAGTTGGAGAGAAAGCAGTGGCTGCTCAGTAATTTTTATTTTTTTTTTCCAATCTGCTGTTTACATGATTTCTACCATTGGCTGACATTTTCATTAACAAATTAACAGAAAAGAAACCACAGGAAGGAAGCATGAAAAAAATACTGGCAGGTCAGGTGYAAAAAAGGAACTGAAAATCGATCAGTGGATTGGAAAACAGCCAATAGGTGAAGCAGAGAGCACATCACAAGGATATCCAAGCTGGAGACAGAAGCCAGGCCCAGAAAGAAGGCAGGATGAAGGAGCAGCAGGTGGTTAAGGTACACACAGGAAGAGAGAACAGACACTTGTTAATCTTTAGAATGATGGATTTCCAAAGCATGAGTTGAAAGAATCTCTTAACATGAATTTTTGCATTTTACAAATATCCTCTAAAGCCCACAGAAGTCAACACACTTCAGTTCAGACCATATCACATCACCACAAACCTCTAGACCTTATAACTTGTTATCCCTCTTTGCCAAACTAACTCTCTTCTACTCAAGTTCCTGTGGTTTTTGCCTGTTTTTTGAGACTGTACACATCATAGTTTCCCAGACAAAAKGAAAGGGTGAAAATAATTTAAGGTCAAAAAATAGAACTATAGACCAAGATGAAATGCTTCAGATTTTTATGACTGACACACAACTCTAGCCACCATCTATCACTCCATGAACTATCACTATATTATACCAGAGGCAAGATCCATCTTCCAATAAACCACAGCTAAAGAAAAAGGCTGAAGACCTCACTGTAAGATACCTCATCATCCATGTAAGCCTGCAACTTTTTTTGTTAAACTTCAGAAGAGGCCRGTCAGATATAATCAGACACACAAAAAGAGAGACTTTGGGGTAAATGATAAYGGGAAAGACTTTGCCATTTAAATTAAAGAACAGATTACTTGGAATTAAAGGTACTAAAAGTATAAAAATAGTTTTAATGTTAGTCATAGATATATCACCACTCCCTCTAATCATAAATGGTACATATGGGACAAACTGGAGTGTTTCCTTCTCTGAGATTACAAGATACAGATAACATCTAATGAAACTGAAGTTAATGAATGTGAAATCACTGTAAGAGAGCAGGCACAATCTGCAACAGGATCTCTGTGGAAGAGTTATACAACAGATAAGGTAAAACCAGGAAAAAATGAAAACTTTCACCTTTCATTAAGTAGATCATAAATGTGATCTGTAAACCCTCTTATCATCAGGGTTTATGGAAAAGGAATTACTCTAAAACAGCCCATTTCCAGGAAACTGCAATCTTTATCAGCGCCAGAGTCCTGCATGAGATGGAACATTAATGTGATCTGATTCCCTTACAATATATGCTGGTTGTCTGCAAATTACTGTGGTAATTGCAAGCAGCAACCAAATTGCTCCAGTTGAGGAGAGTGTAAACATTTTAACYTGCCAAGCCTGCTGCTAGTGGTCCAAATGAATCTGAAAAGCTCAGTCTGGAAGCCTGTGGTATCAAATTGCCATCCCCTTTTTCTACATTTGTAAACATTTTGCAGATGGAAAAATTAGGAAGAATATTGATGTGAGCTCATCCACACAGGCACAATGCTCCAACAAGCAGGGGCAGCTGACAATTTCCTTATAGAAAACTCCCGAGCTCACAGCAACCACTGCTGGAACAATGGCAGCAGTGAGAGCCAATCCTCCAAATTTCATTGCCCTTCCCTTACCTCAGTCTCTCTCAGTCTGGCTTCTAGGGCAGATCGAGGTCCTTTGGTGTTGTCATTGACCCTCAGTCTCTCTTGGATGGCCTTCATCCAAGCTTCTGCATTCTCCACGCTACTGTCAAATTCATCCTGTAGCTGCTGAGTCATGGCATTTGAAGAAGCTGCAAGGACAGGAAACAGGGAGGTAAGCAGGTTTTGGGTAAGACCTRAACAGGAATGAAAGGCAATCTAAAGGAGCAAGGGAGAGAAGATAATGATGTTGTGGCTTTCCTCTTGAACAATACCAAAAACTGCAGTGGCATCACTGTTCAATTGAGCACAGAGAACACGTTCACACTGCAGCTTTCCCAAATGAAAATATTCCAGGAAACAAAAAGAAGGTGTAGAACTATGGGAGGCTCCATTACAGTAAACAGATTTAGTTCAAAGCTTTTAAATGAGATTAATTTGGTGTTTGTGGTGTATTCCAGATTAGCCACCAAACATAAACACAATCTGTTTCTTCTCAGAGCCATGTCAGTATAAAACTCTCCCTTCTGGGCTCATCTGCTGACCACCTGACACCAGACTAACAAAGTAYGTGGCACATGCTTAACTTAGAGGTGTATAAACCCTTCAAAGCTGAGAGCAGGATCAGATGCTTAGGCCCTCAGTTAACTTCTGCTGAGACCATGCAGAGGTTACCTGAATGCACAGGCAGTGAGTGTGGGACACACAAACAACGGGAATTGGCCAGCAACTTCCAAGACAAACCACAAATGAGCCTTCACAGGGGAATATCAATACCAGTGGATGTCTTGTTTTGCCATCTCTTTTACTCCACACCAGGYTCCAAGCTTTCCTCTCCCTCTCCCTTGCTGCTCATTCCCATCCAGCAGGAAGGTGTGATGGTTGATTGCTCTGCTGATGTCTCTGTTTAGAGCACAAGGTCCCCACTGCCTAGCCAGCCTCCTTTGTGCCTGTACAATAGAGGAGAGCCATCCTAGGCTCACCCCTAGGACTGCCAGACTAAACTTGACTAACAAGGATGAGCCGTAACAAAGCGCCCTGTAGGTCAGCTCCACTGAAGTGAACAGAACGAGAGACACTGACATTCAATGGGTTTGGATCACATCCTACAACTACTGCCAGCCAAGCAGCCAGTGTCTCATGGAAAATAAAATATTCTTCCTCTTTGTTATTCATCAATGAAAGATTTTTTCAGCACAAAGTTTGAGACTTAATTACTCAGCCCATGTTCGTTGTGCAGAATTCAGTTCCACAGCAGCCTCACAGTTTCCATGAAACGATTCATGTGGAAGGAAGTGCTGGATGTGAGAGGCAGAGCACAGCTCCTGGTGAAGCTGGACCAATGGTGTTTTGTACCCACCACAGCTCTCAGCAGCTCCCTTTCCAAGGGAGAGCCATCCTTCTGCTCACAAGCAGAAAGCTCACCACCATCCTGCTGATGTTCCTTTCCTTGAGGATTCATGCAATATTAGAGGTACCTCCMAGCAGCTCCCAGGACATTTTCTTCCACATAAGGCCAGAGGAAACAAGATGCCAGCATTCACAACAGTCTGAATTGTTGCTTCCCAGCCGTCAGCAGGCTTTCTGTTCAACAGGTCCCAGACAGAATGAAAGAACTGCACCTGCAGAGCAGCTACTACACTACCCATGGGGACAGCTAAAGCAGAGGATGGGTCTGACCTCCATGCCTCCATCAGATCAGCGGAGCTGCATTTGCATGAAAGRGGGAATTCCTCCCTAAATGAGACCTGTCAGACAGGAAAGCATCTAAGGCTGTAGCTCTCAGAACTTGAGAGAAGTTTTAAAAAGAGTGACCCCACCTTGTAAAGATTTAAAAATTAAAACAGGATGTACTGGATTTAATGAGGCTGGTGYGGCATGGGGCAGCTACTCCCTCTCTCAAATATAAAAATGATGACAGGATATATAATTAAAGCCAAAATTATTGACTTAYATCAYAAGAGTCCTAAAGATGAAGCCAGYTAATGGAGTAATGTTATTCTCGGARGAYTGCTCGATAGCTGTGTCCTTCTCCAGCTATGACTGGTTCAGAACTGACATTTCTRAACTCCAATAATCCAATTCTCAGAAAAGAGCACACATCTCATTGCAGCTGAATAATCAACTCCTTTTCACATTAACATTTCTCATTATATCTGACAGTTGTAGAGGGACTGTCCCCTCAAACTCTCCTTGTTACATACATACATTTCTAGGCAAACGAAGTTTCTGAATGCTCAAGTATGAGCTGTGGTAATTCCAGTTATGCTATTGTGAAACAAAACTCACAGTGCATTTGCTGAATAGACACTGACGAGAAGTAGCATTCAGTTCTGAGAGGATTCTATTCCTGGCAGCATCCATATCATACTTAAACTTGGCTTCAGTACTCCAGTTATGGAGTAGCCAATACTGAACMAAAGTTATCCCAGTCCTGATTTTTAGAAAACGTTGAGGGCAACCTAGCATGATTAAGAAGCAGTGGAAAAGCTACTGTCATCCAACAGAAGAAAACCCCACTCACACTCTGCCCTCATGCTGCTCTCCTCTGAGCACAAGGAATTTCTGTCAAAAACTCACAATTACACAGCCCCTCCCATCCCTCAATCCTCATAAGCAGTCAACACAAGAAACCACAAAAATGTTATTTCAATATTAAGATCACCAGCTTGCAAAGGAAGAGAAACACTTTGCTACTCCAACCACAGRCATAACATCATTGACTGATTTTGACCAAGCAATTCCTGTATCAAAGATGATTAAATCTAGCATGGACTCAATGCACAGATGGATTCCATAGCAGTTACAACCTGCCATATCTGATGTGGACTTGGGCTGCCTTTTGAGACCTCCTGTCCTCCCTCCATGCAGGGCAGCCAGATGCTGGCTGAAGCAATCAGCAACTGTGCCAGACTTTTGTTCTGGAACCCTTCCCAGGCACTAACAGTGTCATTGATAATGGCAAGGTAAAAGTATGATTTCTGACTTACTGTCTGCTTGGGAGGAAGAACTATCAACTATYTGAGATACAGCAAACGTGTAACTCCTTTGCAAATTCTTCTGAAGCTGAGATTAATGATTCATGGATAAAAGTTAATGAATCAACASCATGCACCCCATTTCTGATGCATCACTGGGACTACATGATTGAGCAATACTCCTGGACCCTGATCAGTATAAAAAGGGCAAAGGAGACATAGCAGCTCTGGAACAGACCTCAGCTGTACAGCTGTGYAAAGCCATCATTCACACACCAACCTGTAACAGCAGCAGACCATTAGGGGCACCTGTACCATGGTACAACAAACCCCTATCCCAGGCTCAGTCTTTGGGATCCACTGTGCCAGGAAAAGTCTTCCCTTAATTACTGGTGCAATGCCCTGAGTAATTTGTACAAAATTCTTTTTCTCGGTTGCTTTCAAATGCATCCAGCTGTTCAAAACTGCTTTTCATTTAATGCCATTTGAATCAGTGCATTAATTCGTACTGTGGAAAGCACATTTACACTTTAGAAAGCACCCTCCACCTGTATATATGTTACTAAATGAGGGCAACAACTGCATACAAGAAATTCTGGCATAGATAATGAGATGCTGAGCAAAACCAAGTTTTATTTGCCCAAATACAGTAATAGTTTCTTGGTATAGGTAATGAAGAAGCGTAGATGAGGGTGTTGAACTGACCCAGCACAGCTCCTGCAGTACATTCACAGATTATAAAAAGCACATTTTATGAACAGGAAGATGTAAGACATGCAGAAATCTGTAGCTGAACCTTTCCCACAACACTAGTCTTCCTACCTTCTGTGAATCAGCCTCCATGACCCCCAAAACACCACCTGGCAGTGTCAGGGTGGGCATATGTGTTTCAGTGCCASAGAGGGCCAATGCCCCAGCCCTTGCCCAGCTGAGCTGCCAGACCCACTGCACACCTACAGCACAGCAGGGCTTGCACTGGTTTATCCAAGGCTCAGTTACACGCACGGGGTACCTGCACCTTTGGAAGAGGAAAAGGTGAACACCTGACACAGGACACGCCTGTGCAAGTCAGCATCACTCCTCTCCCGCTCTCTCATCCAGGCACAAAACCATTTAGCAAGGAGGCAAGTCAGAGAACTGCAGCCTACCACCACTTCCCAAAATCCTGGAGGAGAAGGGGCAGCCTGAAGGATGCTGGGGGCACATACACTGTATGCCCAGCTTGCCCACAGGCTGCATACCCCAATATGAATTAATGAGATCCAAAGCAACAGCAAGCTGGGTTTTGCTTTTAAAATGCATTTAAATCCATTTGTGTTGGGCTGGGCTGAAGAGGCAGCTTTGTTCCAACAGTGGTCTTGGAGCCATCCTGCTGAAAGAGCAGATGAAGGAAWTAGCTGACTGCTCTGCATTATAGATCTTGAAGCCGCTGCATGGCCATGTATGAGTTTCCACAGCAGACTCTGATGGAGACAGGCACAGGTCATCCCTCATGTGACCCACAYGGCACTTGCAGGGCCAAATATCTCTGAGCAGTTCTCCTTTAAGTATAGCCGCTGCAGGAGCCTTCCTAGTGCATCCAATAACTCTTCTGGGACAATGCAAGATTTACTTATTTAATATTTGCAATACACTACGGAGAGCTTTTAAAATTATTTTGCAAGCACAGTGTCTTTTTCTTAGGATTATCCTATTATTTCGCAATGTGTCCTAACATACTRTTTTCTCTCTGCCARTCATACTGGGGTTTGGGTTTTTTGWTCTTTTCAAAAAAAAATTAAATCTCYTAAAACGTTTCTTACAACCACTCCCATTTTACACATTCTTTTGAACCCTACATTTATAAAACACAGGCTTTTAAATGGTTTCAATATGTCTTGGATTCTTATATTCACATACTACTTGACTAGTTTCCAGAAGCCAGTTCTTACAAAAATGCTCCAGGAAAATTCAAACCACTCACCATTAGGGAGACTGTTTTCCAATTATTGAAATACTTCAAACTTTTCATAACTGTTTTCATTTGGTTCTGGGATTGAATGTGGAAAAAAAAAAGTTTTAAAAAAACCCACTGAACTGTATCAAATTTTWGACAAATGTATGAGTGTGGAAGCAATTTTGGTTCTGGGAATTGTATCTGGGGATAATTTAGTAATTTTTCAGCTTYCCTAGAT